TAACCTAGACCTGATGTCAGCCTGGGGCATGGGACCCCAGCATCACCTCTCAGGATTGGTATACAGTTGCAGGTTTCCTGGAGATTTGGACAGAGTAAAAGGACACAGATGCCAAGAAGAGCATTTTATTGTGGTTTGCCTCATGGTAGCCCAAGCTTTGTCCCCCAGAATGTACACTTATCTTGCGTTTTCCTCTTTTACTTGGCCCAAGCTTGCTCTGCAGAGCCAGTTTCTCCTTCACTCTTCACTTTTATTTATTTATTTATTTATGGTCTTTTTGAGACAAGGTTTCATTATGCAGCTCAGGCTGGCCTTTAACTCACTGTGTAGCCCAGGATAGCCTCAAATTCACAGTGATCCTCCTGCCTCAGCCTCCTGAGTGCTGGGATGACAGGCATGTGGCACCTCACCCAGCTTTACTGGTACTTTTTCAAATAAACTTTGCCACTGCTTTTTGCTCATTTTGTTCAATTCTTTGTTCAAAATGGGAAGAATCTAGAATCTAACTTCAGAAGGAGAGGCGAGCAGCATAAAACCATGTAACGTTTATCTGTCGAGCCACAAGGAGTTACTCAATAACACCACATCTTCATCTAGTATACATTAATGAAGCAACTAATTAGATATCTAATGGGGTTAAGTCCATGTATTAATCACTTTCTCTTTCCTGGGACAAAATACTTGACACTGCGGAATTAAGGGGCCGGGGATATAGCTCAACAGCACAAGTACCTGCCTGGTAAGTACAAGGTCCTGCCTGGTAAGTACAAGGTCCTGGTAAGCACAAGGTCCTCAGTTTGATTCCTGGTACCAAAAAAAAAAAAAAAATGCTGACACCGTGGTACTTACTTTGGCTGGTTTTTGATTACTAAATCAGCCCACTGATTGGTTTGGCATAGTACTGGCTAGGATTAAGGGTGTGAGCGCTACACCCACTCTAAGGCAGGTAGCCTGCATACAATATAAGGGACAGAAGGAGTCTTGTCTCCCTCTCATGTTGCTTTTGCTGTCTTCTGTTGCCCTGAAATGTTGCCCCTCTGCCATGTGCCACCCTGCCTTGGAGCCAGCTGATTATGGACTGAAACCTGTACAAACTGTGAGCTAAATAAACCTTTCTCTCTTTAACTTCGGGTGTCGGGTATTTTGTCTCAGCAACAAGAGAAAAGTATCTAAGTCATCATGGAATTTGAATTTTCATCATAAAACACTCTATAGGATGATTTCTTTCTAATTGAGTAAAAGAATAGGCTTCACTCTGGATGTGTTGGTTGTCTTGTTTACTTTTCTCTTGCTGCTGAGACAAAATACCTGATACCCAAAATGAAGGAAGGAAAGGTTTATTTAGCTTACAGTTTGTGGAGATTTCAGTCCATACACGGCTGTCTCCAAGGCAGAGTGGTACATGGCAGAGGGCAAACGTTCACGACTGCAGAAAACAGCAAAAGCAACAAGAGCAAAAAGGGGGTGAGAACAAGCCTCTTTCCCTCCCTTATATTGTAAACAGGCTACCCTCACCCAGGGGGCTTGTAGGACTCACATTATCTCCTCGCCCTAGTCCTGCACAGGCTCAGGATGAATACAAAATACCCTGACCCCCTGCTTAGTTACATAATTAACCTTCTAAACTTCTCAAATTGACACAGTGAACAACATCCCAGAAGGGTAAGGACGTGTCCTTTTCACCCCCAGATGCAGAACTGCTGAATCGCTTAGCCAAGCCTCTAGGCTCCCCAGGTTGACACAATGCATCAACTGTAACAGTGGTGCAAGACTATAATCCCAGCTGCTTAGGAGGCTGAAGCAAGAGGAGTGAAAGCTCCAGGTCAGCCTGGGCAATTAAATGAGCTCCTGTCTCAAGATAAAAAACATATATATATAAAAGCCTGGGGATGAGCTCAGTGGTAGAGCACCAGCTCACGTGTGCTAAGCGCTGGGGTCTATCCCCAGGACAGCAAAGAAAAAGAGGCTTCAGTGATTACGCTTAAAGATCAATTTGACTGATTAAGAGCCCCCTAGAGGGTGCTGGGTGAGGTGGTGCTCATGGGAGGAACTCCGGAGGGCCTGTTTCCCCGGGGCCTCCTCCCTTGTGCTCTGCTTCCCCACGAACTGAGCAGCTTTGCTCCAACGCACTCTTCTGCCCTTGTTTCTGGCAAACATAGACTGAAATCTCTGAAACTTGAGCCAAAGTAAACCACTCGTCTTAAATTGCAGGCGTTGGACACTTTGAGCCAACAACAGTAAAGCTGACCAATACAGCTTCCTCATTAGCCCTCTAGGAGTCAAATTCATCAGCTCTTTGGTCTTATGCAATCTTTGAACCTCTGTCTTCTCATCTATAAAATGGAGGTACTACTGTACTTGTCTCTTGGTGTGGAGAAGGACATTCTTTGATTAGAAAACACTGAGGACACACAATGATGTGTTTATTGTTACAAAAATGAACTGGAACATTTCACCTGAAGATAAGGGTGTATTTGAATTGCAGGAGATCCCTATTTTTTAGTCTTGCCATGCATTGTAAAAATTAATGGGAAGTAAGGTCTGTGACTGTAGTGGGTTGATAACTGGTGGTCAGCTTATAACCTCCAGCAGAACTGAGTGAGCGTGGTGCTGCGTGTGGGAGGCCCACCAGGGCATTGTTGCCAGCAGCATAGAGGCAGATTTGGAGAAGGATAATGCTTTCATTACTAAAACGTTTGGTATCTGCCATTTGTACTAGCTACGCCCTTGGTTCTCGCTCAATAAAAGGTGACTGAGATCGGTAATTGGGGCTGCAGTCTGAGAGGCTGTAAGCCCCGGGTCCCAGACTTTTGCCTCTCTTATTTTTCTGTCTCTCTTACTTTTTCTTATCATCCGTGGGCACCTCGTTCTCAGGACCTGTCACCCTGGATCGAACGACATCTTGGATTCAGGAGGGGGTACTATATAAAGTTCTTAATGCAAGGGTTAACCCAATAAATAATGTCAGTTTGTTATTTTTATAAATACATCACAGTATCTTTGTACAAGTCACCTACGTTTGCCCAGTGTTTGAAAGAAAACATTTACTGATGACATTATGAAACTGTGAATCAGTTCTGAAAGCTTGGGGCTTTGTTTTTCCCTCATCAATCATGCTAGTTCACAGTAATGTCATTAAGATCACCACACTTGTGCTAGTTCCGGCAGCACATATACTAAGATCGCCACACTTGAGCCGGGCATGGTGGTGCATGCCTATAATCCCAGCAGTGGGAGGCTGAGGCAGAAGGCCAGCCTGGGCTTCACAGTGAGCTCAAGGTCCAGGCCTTTTATTTATTTATTTATTTTGAACATTAGCTGAACATTTATTAAAATTCATAAAGCCATCTAAGCTGAATATAATACAATATGCAATGACCATGACACAGTAGTAAAAATACAGTATCAAATACTCTGTACTTTGTGAGTTAAAACTATAATATAAACAATTTAGGCCCCTTTTTGAAAAATGAAAAATATTTCTATTACAATCTTATTTCAAGTATTTTCAGGCTGGGTGTGGTGACGCGTGCCTGTAATCCCAGCACTCGGGAGGCTGAGCCAGGAGGATCATTGTGAGTTCGAGACCAGCCTGGGCTACAAAGTGAGCTCAAGGGCAGCCTGAACAGCATAGCGAGACCCTGTCTCAAAAAACAAACAAACAGCAACAAAAAATCAATGCAGCAATCTAACTCCAGGTAATAGGTGTCCCATTTTGATCTTCAAGTGTGTGGTCCCGATGTAGAATTCTTATCGCGTCCAAGGAGCTGCCTACGGCTCTGAGGCAATACTTACTGATGAAGCAATGGGAGCAAAGTGTGGACAGCACTACGGAGATGGTCACTGATAAAACCAGTTCCTAGACAGCCTGGGCCCGCTCGCAGGTAGAAGGCAGCCAGCGCTAGCAACACAGAAGGACAATGCGCTCACTGAACTGCACACATGGAGCTCCTAGCCCGGATAACAGTTCTTGACATGGGCTCCTGGTTGTAGTTTACAGTATCTGCCTTTACCACCCTCCATGACTGTACCGTTTCTGCTTTATTTAACTTGATTCCAAGGATTTCAGCAGCAACTTTCTGAAAACACAGGAAGACAGTCTCCTGTCATGGCTGAAACAAGCGGCTACTAAAACCGTTTTCCTGGCAAAATTGTAAGTGCTCCTTGGGTTTTACTGTGTGCATATGCTCCAAATCAATTTTATTGCCACCAATGCATGCATTGGCTGAGTTTATGACTCTTCACTCACTTTCTTCACTGCAGTATACCTGTCTTCTAAATCCTCAAAGCTTTGATAACTTGCAATATCATATACCGAGAGGATTCCCTGTGCTCCATAGATATACTTATCCAGCCGGGGTGGTGGCGCATGCCTATAATCCCAGCACTCAGGAGGCTGAGGCAGGAGGGTTGTTGTGAGTTCGAGACCAGCCTAGACTACAAAGTGAGTTCAAGGCCAGCCTGAACTGCATAGCGAGACCCTGCGTCAAAAAGACAAAAAAAAAACACCCAAAACACAATTAAGATATACTTATCCAACATTTTCCCACCTACTGTCTGCCCCCCTATATCCCAGACTTGAAGGATAACATGCAAATTTTCTGGCAATGTTATCCTTCTCAAAAAGAAATCCAGTCCTATAGTTTGTGTGTACTGTTTCCCAAAAGTTTCTTGAGCAAAACACGTGGCGAAGGAGATCTTCCCAGAGGTGCCATCCCCCAGCAGGACAATTTTCAGTTGCTGGTCCTGGCTGTCTTCCTCAGTGTCCCACTTGTTGTCCCGAGAATTCTGGGGCGGGGGAGAGGAGGAAGGTGGGCAATGAGGGCCACAACCCCACCTCACCTCCTTCCCCTCCTCGAGTGTCCCTAACCCTAACCTAACCCAGCCGCGGGGGGATCGGGAAGAATCACTCAACCAGCGCTATCTTGTCCACCTCTCCTCCCGCTCCAGACCTTTTAATAAATTTTATTTTGGGACAAGGTCTTCTAAGTTGCCCAGGCTGGCCTCAAAATTGTGAACCTCCTGGCTCAGCCTCCTGAGTAGCTGGGATTACAGGTGTGCAGCACCATACCTGGTTGCATCATTTGAAAATATTTGCATACTTATTAATAATATGATAATCAAGCTGAGTAAATTAATTCAACCTGATTCATAGAAACTTCTCAGGTAATTTCTGGGTACAATCAAAAGCAGCCTTCCAATTTCATGAAGAAACTGCCTGTGATATGATTTGAATCCAGTTTTCCCTAATTCAGACTGTATTCCTAATGACTTCACTATACCTGTTATGCACAAGGCTCCTTTTTCTTTTTTTGTTTTTGTCTTTTTGAGATAGCTTCTCACTCTGCAGTTCTGCAGTTCAGGCTGGCCTTCAGCTCACTTTGTAGCCCAGGCAGTGTCTCAAACTCGAAATGATCCTCCTGCCTCAGCCTCCCTAGTGCTGGGATTACAGGCATGCACCACCACGCCCAGCTCCTTTTTCATGTAGCTGTATTTGTTTTTTGGTTTTTTTTTTTTTTTTTTTGTTCTGGGAATCGAACTCAGGACCTTGTGCTTGCCAGGCAGGTGCATATGCCACTAAGCTATATCCCTGGCCCCTTCATGTAATTGCAGTAAAGCTGAGATTTAACATTGTGCAGTCTCATCTTATGCTATGCAGACCATATTCACATTTCACCATCCTTTTGTTTTGGCTGTATCAGGGATCGAACCCAGGACCTCTATGCTGTACTACATCCCAAGCCGTTTTATTCTTTTAGGGAGAGTTTTGAGTTTTGCTAAGTCACTAAGTTGCCCACCCTGGGCTCAAACTTATGATCCTGCTACCTCAAGCCTCCGAGGCATGCGCTCCTGTACCTGGTACCCACTGTCCTTCATAGGAAATTTCTCGCAATGGAGAACCCCAGCCAGATCAAGTTTTGCCTCTACTTCTCCTATTTCTTCAATCTTCTTTAATCTGGAATAGTTCCCTGATCTTGCTTTGTTTTCAAAACATTGATCATGTTTAACGAGCACTGGCTAGCTGCAAAACTGCCCTCACATTGGGTTTTTCCAACTGTTACGTCATAATCAGATTCAAGAAACCTGTATTTTTAGCAGGAAAACCATGTACGTTACATATATTTATCGCATGTCATCTGGAGGAGCACAGTGACAGGTCTCATTTTGGCAATATTTAATTTAACCATTTGGGCAAGATGGTGCCTGGGCGCATCGTAAGCCTGCCTTTTAGTTCCTTTGACATCAATAAACAATCTGTGGGGACATTTTCAATTAGCAGTATCGCAATTAAATAGCAATATAAAATGTGGGGCCCCAGTGTCCCCCTCACTGAGTCAGGAGATAGGCGTTAGGGCCCAGCAGTCAACATTCCAGGTGGTCGTGCGAAGAAAACTGAACCCACAAAATAAGGGCCATCCCGCCCCTCCTCCCGAACGACGGGCGCCGACCTTTCCTCTCCTCGGGCCGCGTCGGGGCGCACCACGGGGCGGCGCTGGCGGGCGGGCGCCAGGCGACGGGAGGAGGCGGAG